AAAATCCTGAATGGTTAAAACACTCAGAGTTCCTGGAAACAGCTGAACCTGAAACTGAATGATGACAAAGTTTACCGTTTCTCAGAAACTGAGGCATCTTAGCATCCCAGAGGATCAGACCCTTCATTTGCACTTAAGTGCACTGAAAGAAAATCATGAATGCTCCTGGCAAAGTTCTCCGTTTCTCAGAAACTGAGGCATCTGATCTGATCCCAGAGGATCAGACCCTTCATTTGCACTTAAGTGCACTGAAAGAAAATCATGAATGCTCCTGGCCATTCAGGATGTTGCTTTTACAACAACAACAAAAACCAACAACTTTTTTCCTTCATAAATATTCAAAATTTCCAAAACTTTGCAACATGTAGTTCAAGGACATCATCAAAACTACACTGTGGGCTCTAGGAGACAGACTGGTCATGGTTTACAGACCTACTAGAAGGGACTTGCAATAAATTCATACCACTTTGTTTTCACTCCTGGCTGCACTCAATACCTGAAGGAAGTCAACCACAAACTCCTGCACCATTTCCAGCCTCAGCTTTTACTGTTGTTAGCAGCAAACCATCTCTACACAGTCCATCAAGCTTAATCCTCTACCCACTGCCAATCCTGCAATAAAAAGTGTGTTGTTAGCAGCAACCCATCTCTACACAGTCCATCAACCTTAATCCTCTACCCACTGCCAATCCTGCAATAAAAAGCACGAGGACAAGATTTTATCCCACATTTTGTTCCTTTATCTGTATTCTATTTGTACTGCAGTAAGGAAAACAAACACACCAAAGAATTATTTCAAAAGACAGTGGTTTCTAAATGTTCAGGATGACACATTTCACACAGGAGTCAGCACACCCTTGAACCAGGCATCCAGAAATCCATCTGTTGTTCTGCTAAAACTGACCTGGGTTCTGCAGTCTTGAGGGGCTGGTTCATGAATCCAGGACGCCACTGTAGTAATGGTGATTCACCTTCACCCAGATTTCCTTGGCTGTTGGCTGCATAAAAGGCATATTTAAAGCAAACACACTCATAAATTTCAGTCTTCATTTGACAAACATTTGTCCACTTGGAACCAGACAAACAATAGAAAGCCACTTTGCACAGGACACTCAATTCTCATATTATCAGTAGCTTTTAGTTGTTAAAAATACCAGGAGTCATTGTCAACATATATTTGAAAACCTGCTTTACCTGCTGCAGCACCTAATTGTTCCCAATTTAAATGTTTCACAGCCCTTTATTTTTGGTCTTCCAGTTCATTTTGTAAAGCTTTACTTGATTTGGTCTTTAAATCCATGTTTAGAAACTCCATTGGAATATCTGAGAGCCTAAGAAATGCCAACATTTTATCTGCCTAACAGCTCCAAGAAAAACATTTTTGTTTGCCTTTAAAATCTGGCATAATTTCAACAACCTTGTTTATCTCTGGAACTAAGCACCCTTGAAAAGCTCAGCAAGCCAGTTTCAAGCCTGTTTGCAGTGGAGGCTGTGGCAACTGAAATAAAGAAGGCAGAGGCACTACAGTCCTCTGTATCACCCTTACAGCCTTAGGGATCTCCTTCCACATAGTTTGAGAAACAGAAAGGTTAAGAGCCCTTTTTCTTTACAGCCTCCATATACAAGCAATGCTTTGGATTAAATGGGCACTAAAAGTTCAAGGTCTAATAAAGTTTAACAGCTGTTACTTACCCAGCTCTTTTTATGGTTTCATGAAACATCTATTTTTTTTCATCTCAATTTTATAAAGATGCATCAAAACACAGTAAATTACAGGTTAAATGACAGATTTAAAAAAACTACTGAGCAAAAATGGGGAAAAAATGGTGACAGAGGTCTCCATCACATGGATAAAATTAAAAATAAAATTGGGAATACAGGAAATATTTCTTATTCAGGAAAGTATGCAATACAGGGCAGGGACATCTTCCACTATGCCCATGTTGTTCCAAGCACCTTCCAACCTGACCTTGGACACTTCCAGGGATGGGGCACCCACAGCTTCTCTGGACAACCTGTGCTAGGGCCTCAACACCCTCACAAGAAAGACTTTTTTTCCTAATACCCAATCTAAACTTGCTCTCTTCCAGTTTGAAGCCACTCCCCCTTGTTTTGCCACTCCATGCTCTTGTAAAAAATCCCTCTCCATCTTTCTTGTAGGCACCCTTCAGGTGATGGAAAGCCACAGTTAGGCCACCCCTAAACCTTCTCTTCTCCAGGCTGAACAATCTAAATTAAATTAGTCCAAGTTTAACCCCAAATTTAATTAATACAAATAAAGTAAATTGTTTCACCTCTACAACACTAGAGGGTATGGTTTCTCATCTAAGCGTTGTACTAAACCTAGCAACCCCTGAGAATATTTTGAGGTTGCCTGCTCTTTTCTTTCTGGCACTGACTAATGTTTTTTGAGCTGCAAATACTCAATTGTGCTCCAGCAGTAAATCTGGACAGCTCTGGCAGCATCCAGTGCTTAGAACTGCAGCTTCTAAAGGCAAATGTGGGCTAAAATACAACAGAGAGATCAAGGTGAAGAAAGGCAGTAGAGCTCAGTTTTACTCCTCTTCATGTAAGTATACATGTAACTCACCCATTTCTTGTAGGCAAACACTGTAAATGGAACCAAGAGCTGTATTAAACACATTAGATCCATATTGGCTAGACCAGCCCAGAGTTCAGAGCTGCTGTGTTGTGCTGCCTGTATGATGTGTCAAACTGAGCACAACACATTAGGCTGGGCTCGTGAGTAAGTGAACACTGCAAATGGTTTTCAAAGCATGTGGGCAAGGGTAAACAAGAGATTACTCACACCTTTCAGGACTGAGCAGCTGAATGAGTGTGCTGCAAAAGTAGGCTGGCAAAAGAGCCTCAGTGCTTAAAAGTTGTCTGTATCTGTACATAAAGTTTTTAACAAGAACTCAATTGTAACTTAATGAAATTGGTCAAAATATTGCACCTGGAGTTCTAGTTCACTCCGTGTAAAAAATATTTTTAAGGCAATGCAACAAAGTAATTTATAAAGGATGTATCCCTCCTCCACATGATCAGCCATCATGTGTATATTCACAAAGCTGAATTTGTGTAATCAAAAAGAGAGAAAAAAAACCACACAAGGACCTTGACTTGAATTTGACATAGCACCTGAGTAGCTGGAGGTGGTTTTTTTTCCCTCTTTTACAGGCCTGTGTTTTGCCACACCTTCTGCATTCCATAAATCAAGGTGAATCAGGGGCGTGTCACTTTATTCAGCCTATTGTACTACATTTTAGAGCCACTCCACAGCTGGCACACACAGGTAGCAAAACCTGCCTAACTCATACATATGTGAAAGCCATTAGGAAGATACAAGCTGAAATCTACAGCGCCTGCAGAGTAAACATCTAGCAGGGTACACAGAATGAAATTCAGATCCACTTCAATCAGTTATGAAGCCATAAGCATGTGTTTTTCTCAGTTTTTAGGATGAAATTTAAAATAGTGATGATTTGTGCTCTGTGCTATTAAAGGATGCTTCATTTCTCTGCTTACACAGCACTGGTCTCATTGTTTTTCAGCACCAGTAACTTAACAGGTTTTGCAGAATTACTAATCCCTTCTCATAATAAAAAGGAAAACCATGGGAATGTAAACTATTTGCCTTAATTTATGAAGCAAACTTGCACCAGGACCCAAAACAAATCTCAACTCATTGTAGCACACACTGCTGCAGTGGCACTCAGAGTACATTCAGCAACACCTGACCATTTCCTGCCTGTATTCTGAGTTTTAGGGTAAACTATTTTAATTTTTTTTCCCCACAAGAGACCACAAAAAGGTGACGTGGGTGAAAGAATATGAACAGCCAGCTTACAGAGCCGGATGACCAAAAGGGAGATGTAGTCATGGAGGAGTCGTGCTGACAAGCGCCACTGCCTCGAAAAGGTGACAGCCTGGGGCTGCCGGGCACCTGCACAGGAGGCAGGGAATGGGCGTGCTGGGAAAACACAGGGACACTCCCAAGGACGTGTCCCATCGCAGCCTCACCTCACGGTGCCCTTCTGCAACAATGGGAAGCCCAGCAAACAGCCCTAAAGTGAGCTGCATCCCGGTCCACATCCCTGACAAACCCCATAGCTCCCCGGAAACACCGCATTGCTCTGCTTGAGGGGGCTTCATCCCACAGCTCCCATGGCTCCCCTCAGCGCTGCCCCCTTCATCCCGGTGTGTGGCAGCAGGGCCAGGGCAGGGACTGTCCCCTGTGCTGGGCACTGCTGAGGTCACCTCGAGGGCTGTGTCCACTTCTGGAACCCTCAGATCAGGAAGGACTTGAGGGGCTGGAGCGGGTCCAGGGAAGGGAACGGAGCTGGGGAAGGCTCTGGAGCACAGGTCTGATGAGGAGCAGCTGAGGGAGCTGGGAAAGGGGCTCAGCCTGGAGAGAAGGAGGCTCAGGGGGGACCTTCTGACTCTGCACAGCTCCCTGACAGGAGGGGACAGCCAGGTGGGGTCGGGCTCTGTTCCCAGGGAACAAGGACAGGACAAGAGGTCATAGTCTCAAACTGCACCACGGGAGGTTTTTAGTTGGACATTAAGAATAATTTATTTACAAAAAGGGTGCTTCAACACTTAGACATTAGAACGGGTTGCCGAGGGAAGCGGTGGAATAACTGCCCCTGGAGGTGTATAAGGAAAGACTGGACGCGGCACTGAGAGACATGGTCTAGTTGAGAAAGTGGTGATCGGCCATAGATTAAACTCGATAATCTCAGAGCTTTTTTCCATCTAATTGACCCTGGGACACTGGAAGTTCTCCGCTGCCCCCGTAGCCCTCACGGCCTCCTCACAACCCCTCTCATCGCCCGCCCCCCACTTCCCGGACGCCCCCCCGCCGTTCATCCCAGCCCCCCGCGCCGCAGCCAATCGGATCTCCCGCCAGCGGGCCCGCAGCCAATCACAGCGGGCGGAGGCCGCGCTCCCCGGCGAGCTCCCGCGCCCCTCTCAAGGCCTGTCAGTTGCCGGTTGGGGCTGCGCAGGCGCCGAGCCCCCACCCGCGCTGCCCCCGGTCACCTCCGGTGCCGCCCGCGCGTCCCGGCCCGAGCAGAGCCGCAGCGGGACCGCGACCGCACCGTGGGGCCCCGGTGGGGACCGGGCTGTCACTGTGGGGACGGTGAGCCCGCTCCGAGTGCGGGTGAGGGACAGGCGCGGGGGAAACCGACGCGGAGCGCCCGGTTGGTCGGCGGTGCCGCGTGTGCGCGCTGTGCCGGCGGGATAACCTCCGCTCTGACCCAGCCGAGCGACTCCAAAACCTGGCCGGGAGGTTCGGGGGCAGGCGGACTGGTGCTGGTGGTGTTTCTCGGCGGGGCTGCTTTGCGGGGTGTGCCTGGGGCAGAGTTAATTTTGGGTTAGAACGTGCCACTTGTGTATAAAAGCAGCGCTGAGCAGCTGCGGAGCGTTCCGGGGAGCGCTGCGGGTTTGCCTCTCGCTGCGCTGTGGGAAACCCTGGCTCTGCTTTCTAAAGCACCTGGCAGCACCGAAGGGCTGATCTCGCCGCCGCTTGCGCTTCCCGTTTCTTTTTTCCTTTTTTTTTTCCTTTAAAAGGCGCGTGTCCTCCAAGTCCTCGGTGCTCAGAGATGCCTTAATGCTGTTTTTGACAATCCTTGTAACTTTTGTATCTTCTGCAGACAGTTTAATTGTGGGAGGGACACTGGGGCGGGGGGTGGCTTCCTGTGCTTTGAATTCCCGTCACTGCTAAAGCTGCAGCTAACATTAAAGCGCCTTACACCTTTAAAATAAACCTGCCGTTTTAAGGAGTTTGTGGGAAAAGGTTGATATTAAAAATGTTAGGAAGGCAGCTGCTGTGCCTCCTAGAATCACAGTTTGTCTGCACATAAAAGAAGATAAAGGATAAAAGAAATATAAAGGGAAAAATTGCTGGAACGGGGCTCTTCTTGAGAAGCAAATTCACTGCCTGACAACATTGCAGAAGGGTTTGTGAAACCTGGAGCTTCACTTCCTCTTTTTTAAAGACTGAGAGCATCGTTCTGTAGCTTCCTCAACAAAGTGCTTTAGTCACACATAATACATTAAGACAGGGTCAAAGCTTACAGATTGTAGCTGGCACTCATAATCATTAATTCCTTGCTGAGAAATACTTACCTCACAGCTAAGATTATTAATTTTGTTTTTTTCATGGAGAGAAAAGTGTGGTATAAGATGGGCAGGTTTAAATGCTGTTATGGTAGATGTAGAACAGCTTAGAAGGAAAGGAGAAGTTACTCCTGGCAGTTCTGTGTATGGAACGAGCAATGAGTAAATGGGACTGTTGAAAGGCTGAAAAGTCTTCCAGCAACTCTACAGGGTGGAAAGCATAAAAGGAAAACTGAGATGAAAAAGGAAAACGACAATTATAGTAGGAAAAAGGCTTCTGACATGAACAGTGATGTGTAATAAGAATTTAGGGCTGCAGAGGACTCTTAAATGTGGGTCTGGAGCTGTTCAAGTGCTTGTGCCTGTGCTTGAACATGAGGAAAAATACTGATTTTCTGTCTTGGAATGTAGAATTGGAATAGGACACACACAACAATGGAGTAACTGATCAAAAGAAAACAATTCTTCCTTTCATTTAGTCTTCAGTGGAAAAAAATCTCACTGCACATTTGTTTTAATATATGAAAAACTGTGACAATATGTGAGAAACCTCTGAAGTCAGTAGGGAAATCCACTGTTGACCTGAGTGGTTGTTTAGACTGGGTGTTTTGAAATTACCCTCTGGAAGGAAGATGTATATAATGTGTAGCTAGTTAAACTGGTCACAGTAGAATTGTTTTGGTTACATGCCTTGTCTATTTAAATTTTTCAGGTGCATCTGATTGCCTGCTGGAAGCACTTCAAAGTCTCCACAATGAGCTCGATGTTGATGTTATTTTTTGCTGGAATTCTCTGTTGTGCTTGCTCGGCTGGTGACTCGGTACCCAAGTTGCTCCTCGTGTCCTTTGATGGCTTCAGGGCTGATTACTTGGAAACCTACAAACTTCCTCATCTCCAGGAGTTCATTGAGGATGGTGTGCTTGTAAAAGAAGTCATCAATGTTTTTATCACCAAGACCTTCCCAAACCATTACACCATAGTGACAGGTTTATATGAGGAGAGCCATGGCATTGTGGCTAATGACATGTATGATGCAGATGCCAAGAAAAATTTTTCACAGTTCAACGATTCAGATCCCTTCTGGTGGAATGATGCAGTTCCAATTTGGGTAACAAATCAACAGCAGGGAAAGGGAGCAAGTGCTGCTGCAATGTGGCCCGGTAGTGATGTAAAAATCAACAACATGACCCCTCATTTCTTCATGAAATACAACTTCTCTGTGACGTTTGAGGAGAGAGTGGAGAGAATTGTGGAGTGGCTGAACAGCTCTGACCCAGTGGTCAATTTTGCTGTGCTCTACTGGGAAGAACCGGATGCAAGCGGGCACAAGTACGGCCCAGGCGACACCGAGAACATGCACAGAGTGCTGGAAGAAGTGGATAAACATGTTGGCTTCCTTGTGAACAAACTGAAGGCATCGGGCCTGTGGGACACTGTAAATGTCATAATAACAAGTGACCATGGCATGGCCTCCTGTTCTGCAGAGAAGCTGATTGTCCTGGATGAATGCATCGGGCGCAATAACTACACCCTGATAGACAGGACTCCTGTTGCTGCAGTGCTGCCACGGCAGAGTATGTGTGGGTTTGGTTATTTTTTAAGGCATATAGTGAGAATTAAATCTTGCTTATCTTGCCTCTAAAAAGTGCAGAGTATGCTAGACTGTTCTAATATTTTGCAAAACTTATGGAGTTCATGTTGCAAAACTCTGACATAAGGAGTAAGCTAAAGAATGATGGTTTGTTTTTATTTGGAAGTTTGTTTTGGCAATCAGTGGGACAAGGAGAGTTTCTTGTCAAATTGCTGTGACTGATAAGGATCACCCTGGTACAGGTGGTTGAGAAAGTAGGTAGTACTTAGTTTGCCTGCTCACCTAATCTATGCAGCTGTGATTTACAGTGAGCATGAAATAAACCCATGTGTTTATTCAGAATAAAAAAGTCATTGTGTAAATTTCCAAGAATCTAGTCTGAACTTTGATCGTTTTACCACTTGAGTGAAACTCAAGATTTTGTACCATGAATTCCATTTTTGTCTCGGAGTAGTCCCCAGCAGGCATGTCTGAAATCATGACATTTCTGGCCTCTCTGTGGCCAGACTAATGAACAAAGAGATTCCTACAGTAAAAAAAAAAAAAAAAAGAAAAAAGATTACCGCATTGGATAAAATAGTGACTACTTGAGGGGGTGATTGCTTTCTCTTGATTTCTTTGCTTGAATTTTGCCCTTCAAGCCCAGATGGTAAGTTGAGTTGTAGGTCCAAACCCACATCTGGGAGGCGTCTGATTTAAAATGAAAGCAAATTTTGAAATTCACCTCAACCATTGCAATATTTCATAAGGGACATGAAAAAAAAATCCTTTTCTATGTGGTTTTTTTAAAATAATTACTTTGAAATGATGGATCTCAGGTTTAATGACAGATAATTGTAGTAAGCAGGAGTTAATTTCCAGCTGTTTCATGTGCAATATTTTCCTTGGCAGACAAAGAAGATGTGTATAACTTACTCAAAAATTGCAGCAGTCACATGAAGGTTTATCTGAAAGAAGAAATTCCAGACAGATTCCATTATCGCCATCACAAGAGAATCCAGCCCATAATCCTGGTTGCAGATGAAGGCTGGACAATTGTACAGAACGAGTCCCTCTCCAAGTGTAAGTGTGTGTTCCTCTGTGGTTTGTGTGGGTAAACTGCCTTGTTTCTATTCCAGCCAGCTGCAGGAGGTTCTCATTTAGCAAGGGGAGTCCTGGCACTCTGCAGGTTTAGGAATAGTGCAGCATTTTCTAGAACGTTCTCAGCCTGAGCCTGGAGTGTTTAACAGGTGAGGAGGAGATGGGGAATATTCTGTTGGCTGAAACACTTTGTCATGTTTGACTTCATAGTCTGAGTTATCTTAGGCAGATTAGCAGTCTGTCTCAAGCTTTCCTTGGAGTGTGATTTATAAACTACATATGAGGGGTTAATAAACAGAAACATGCAACATACAACATTTAATGTTGCAGTACATGTTCTAGGGAATGAAAATAAATGGCAGGGAATACTAAAAATAGTAGGAACACAGCAGCATGTTTGAAAGACAAAACTCAACAGGTGTCACTTCTCAGTGTCTTGCTAAGCTGTGCACTTTCTTCCTGCTAGAATGTCAAATTACACATACATATATATGTTTTTGTATGTGTGTGTATATTTCCATGTGTTCCACATGCAGGGTTTTTTTGGCAGGCAAGAGGCATGGATAATTTACAGAAAAAATGCAACAGTCACATGAAAGTGACTTTCAAAGAAGAAATTCCAGATAGATTTCCTTGTTTTAATGGTATGAAAATTCAACCTGTAATTCTGGTTGCAGATGAAGGCTCATTTGTGTATGAATATGTGTGTTCAGAAAGTGATTGGACAGATTCTTGGTAGGAAAATCCATTAATAGAAATTAAATACAAAAGTACCAACTTCTGGGAAGTTTCTGAACAGCCAACAGCTCGGGCTGGTTGGTCAGGGATATCCCTGCTGGATTCTTCCCTGTACAACTGCTGTTAGACTCAGGGTGTTGAGTGGTGTAAAATCCTGGTTACACCCAGTTTGGCTGATCTTACTGTCTGCCCTTTGCAGAATTAAGTTCAGGTTTTTTCAGTATTTGTATAGAAGTCCTGCTTTTTAATGCAGGATGCATTTATATTTTAATTATGTTGAATTTGGCAACATGTAGCACAGGTGTTCTCTGATCAGAGTTCTCTTTTTCTTGTTTCTGCTTAGATTCAATTTCATGTACCTAAAAATAATACTTTGGCAACATGTAGCATTTTTTCTTTTTTCTTGTTTCTGCTTAGATTCAATTTCATGTACCTAAAAATAATAAGTGAATATTTATAAGGAACAGCATTGTATCAGCTGAAATAAATCTCATTTCAAATCAATTTTATTTGTGAAGGCTTCCCAGAATCAGGGGAGGTTTTAGCTTAAAGGCCTGTTTAAGGTTTATTGTCTTCATGGACAAAGTGGCAGCAGAGTGATTGCCAAGTGTACCAGTAACTCCACATACCAGAATCCTACTTCATAGGTGAAAAACTGGGAACTTAATTGGAGAGGGAACTTGGAGTAGCTCTGTTCAGAACAAACAAGTAGTAAAAGGCAGGGAAAACAATCTAGAAACATGAGTCAAAGCAAACAAGATGTGGTAACAAACAGAATGGTGGAAAACATTAAAAAAGGCTAATGGAAGCTCACTGAAGTGGTGAGTGTGACATAATCAGTTGGAATCTGGATGTTTTGCATCAGAAGCTTCAGGAAGGCACCCAAGGAAACAGTTCTCAGGGATATTCCTCCACTGTTACTAAGAAATGGACTCAAATGCAGTCTACTCAAATACTGTGCTGTGAGGGACTTCTGGCACCTTGGACAGGTTTTTCAGGAATGCTATTAGGAAATTTGACAATAGCTGCTCTTTAGCTATTTATAGTCCATCTTAAAAATCTACCACATGTAGATTTGGCAATTCTCCTGACCTTATAGCCACAGAGGTTTTGCTGTGAGCCTGCCAGAGGCACAGTGATCCTTTGTCTTTGGGTTTTGACTCTCTGGGTACCCCTTCAGCTGAAGTACTTTACCTGATAAGCATGACTTGAGGGTATTTAATATGCTTGAACTGAACACTATCAAGGGAAAGTGCCTGATTTTTAATAATTAAAGTGTGCACTCTGCAAGGAGAGATGACTTTCCAAAATCTAGTAAAAGGAGGAGGAGTAAAAATTTGCATTCTATCCAACTGACTCATTGTGGAATGGCAACCTCCTTTTCAACTTTGGCATGAAGAATGGCAAGGGGAACACTGGAAATGTTAAGCACTGAAAGGAAAAGAGGTTAATAGGAGGGAGAACCATGGGGAAAGGCCAGTATGGAAAGACTTGTGGGGTTTGGGGGAAGAAGGAAGGAACTCTGGCTTCCCTATACGGCTGATCCAACAACTGCTTTTATGCAGTGCATTGACCTTTGGTCAGCACACATGCTTTGGGGGTGGGGGAGACGGGGAAGGGAGCAGTGGCTCTGCAGCAGAGGCCGTGACAGTAACTGTGTGCTCTGCTCTGCAGTGGGGGACCACGGCTATGACAACGCCCTGCCCAGCATGCACCCGTTCCTGGCCGCGCGCGGTCCGGCCTTCCGGCGCGGCTCCAGCCACGGCCGCCTGGACAACGTGGACATCTACCCCATGATGTGCCACGTGCTGGGGCTCGCCCCGCGGCCGCACAACGGCACCTTCGCCAACACCAAGTGCCTGCTGGCTGACCAGTGGTGCATCAGCGTCCCTGAGGCCATCGGGATCGTCATCGGGGTTTTCATGGTGCTCAGCACCTTCACCTGCATCATCATCATCTCCAAGAACAGAGTGGCTCCCTCCCGGCCCTTTGCCCGGCTCCAGTTACAGAGCGATGACGATGATCCTTTGATTGGATAGCGCGGAGGGAGCCTCGCTTCCCACCTTGTGATTTCAGGAGAACAGTTTCAATTTGCACTGGATGGCATTCTTTGTTTGATGCACTTTATCTGTGTAAAATACTGTACAGCCAGATCCTGCTGACTTGTGTGACTAGTGTAATATAAAAATATTTTCATAACCATAGAGAGAACGGGTGGCTTTTTACTGGAAGAGATGCTTAACAAAATAAGGATGCTTAGTTTTTCATTCAAGCCTCTGAATGCTTTCAGAAGGAGACTCCAGAGTGTGACTAGCCAGGATAGACAAAGTGAATTTTAATATTTGTAAATAATAATTGCTTTTTTGTATTAAATTAATATTGACTACTTTAGTGTTCTTACACCTGTGTTGGAAAGAAAAATTTATTGAGAGTTAGGAGGTGGTTTTGTTTAGAGAGTATATTTTGGTGTGCCCTTAAATTTGGGGAAAGAGAAGAACCAAGACTTCTGTTTCTACCCCAAGTCAACAATATGACAAGAAATTTCTGAGAAAGAAAATAGAAGTCAGGGATTAAAAAACTGGTGCATATCTCTTCTATTTTGAGCAATAAAATATGTGGTTCATCCCTTTACAAGCCTAGGCAGGTAGCTCTGATATTTCTGGATATGTGTCTCTGGATGATTTAGATCCACAGGTCCAGCTGGGATGGCACTACTGCCTTATCTCAAGAAATTCAGTTTAACTTGGGAGTCTTTGAATTTGAATTACCCAGTTTCATCAGCTGCAGTGTAAAATCACTGCTCCTGAACCCTATCAAAAATTTCTCGGGAGTAAATTGTGCTGAAGGTCATCTTGAGATAAAGGTGGTTCTGCCCTTTGTACCAGCTCATGGTTGTCTCTTGAAGGTTGTTTTGCTAAAAAGCAAAAACTGAAAGTTTGATGTGCATGTCATCAAGCAAGGATTTCAAACTCATATTTTAAACCCCAGAAATTTAAAAGAAGAAGTTAGCAGATACTAACTTAAAAAATAAATTATCTGTAATGCTTGAGGTACATAGATGCAAATTCCTGCTGAAGACCAGAGCTAACTGTTCTCTTAATTGAAACTCTTGATTCTTTGTTAATGGTCATGTAGTAACTTGCTATAAAAAACAGTTTGATTGAGAAATCCTTAAATGGTACCTTAACTTTCAGTGAGATGAAATTGTTACTGCTAATCCAAAAAGAGAACTACAGTTATCAAGTCCTTTTCCTACAAGTCTGATGACTTTAAAAATAAAGTGACAGAGGTACCTGGTAGCAATGGGGTTTCTCTTTCACAGCTTCAGGTTCATTGCAGTTTGATGTTAGCCACAGCCTTTTAGTGATCCAGCAGGGAAGGAGCAGGAACTTTGGAGGGAAGGGGTTACTTTGAACTGCCTACTGGAAAAAATAAACTTGAGTTTTACAAATGTGTGGAAGTTTCAGTAATGTGTGTCTTCCTCTCTAGGGATTCCATTGTACTTGATTAAAAACACAGTCCAAAACCTAACTACTTCTGCCTTTTTTTTTTTTCAAACTTCCAATTATTACTTACTACTATAAATTAATCTGAACTTGAAAGATTTCAGATTAATTGAAAAAGGCTCAGGCCCCTTGAAAAATCTGTGCTGGATTTTAGCCTGTTGATATTCTAGAGCAGTAGCTGGACTGAACACAGAGTCACTTCCTCCTCCTGCCATATTTTAATTAATTAATTACATGCACCAAGAGGTCAGGTTAATGAGTAACTACAACGGGAATGTGTTGCAGGGTAGAACCTAGGCTTAGATAGGCTGTGGAAGGGAGGATGCTTGAATTCCTATGTTGGAGAGAGTTTTGTTAGATTCTGGTAATTCTTCTAATCCAGAGTGGGGTTCTCAGAGGGTCAGTCAGAGAATTGCTGGAGATGCTGTGCATCACCTGTACTTAGAAAAGCTTGACTGAGTGTACCTTTCTGGCAAACATGCTGTCCTCTACCTCTCAGTTTTGGGTTCTTTTCTAGAAGCTAAAACTGATTAGGACAGTGTTTTCTCCACTCTGTTCCTTCCCCCCAGCAGCTGTTACACAGCAAGTGGTCGATGTGCTCTCAGTTCCTCTGTGCATCCCCTCCCAGGCAGGTGGCAAAGTTACCAGCAAAGCCCTGGTGACCAGAACTGTAAATGCTGACTGAAGCAGGATGGCAGAACTCTGACCTGAAAGAGGAAAGCTGCTACAGCTGGGGAAATCAAGGGCTAAATGCATTTCTCCTCCTAGCTCTAAGGCAGCCCTTTCTGATGAGAACTGCTACAGGCACTGAGCTGCTGTGAAACCAGTGAGTGGCTGTGTCTGGTGGGAATCCTCATCACCCTCTGTTCCTCCTCCCTTTAGCAAGAAGATGAGACAGTGCTACTGTGGAAAGGGTTTAAAGAGGAAATTTAAGTGTTAAGTAAGATAAACTATATTCCAGTTGCACTGCTGAGTATTCTCATTTCCAAAGAACTGGTGTAGTCTGTAAAGGTGCTGAGTGTTCTTCCTGGCACAAAGGGTTTCACAGTAGCTCTTGTACATCCAGTTTCATACAGATCATGTACAAATCAAGAGAACCTAGAAAAAATACCTTTCTGTCTTTAAGACATGAAATTGATTTATTTAAGGATGATTATTCTTAACAACAGAGCCTTAAACATGACAAACCATTTCCACTGCCTCATTCTGGTTTGTGTGAAGTATTTCTCATGAAAGCCAGTGGCTGATTTCCTTTTGGGCAGCCAGTTCAGAGCAAGAACAGCAAAGCTGTGGCTTGTGCTTCCTCAAGGCTGTGATAAAGGGACAGTAGATTGTGACAACATTTCATGACTTGCTAAAATAGACACAACTCAGCAGTGGTCACACAGGGCAGGTTAATTCAAGGGAAGTTCCTAATCCTTAGCTGGCTTTGCAGTTTAGAGGGGAATAGGGGATATTTAGTGACACTTCCAGCACTGAAGGTGGATGTTTTGTTACATTAACTGCCTCCACACAGGACTCCCCACACTGGGTACAGCAGCCCTAAACCAAACCCCTCTGGGGTCCTGTGCTTTTTGGGCACTGGCATCACAGAAACAGTTCCAGAACTGAGCTGATTTCACCTGACTACAGCTCTGAAACACTGCTTTCAGTAACTTGCTGCCTACAAGCTGCCTGTGAAAATAAACCAACTTTGTGTACCTCCAAGGACCAGACCACAGGGACAGATGTTTGCTGTAACATGGTAGCATCTTTTATTGCAAAAAAACAGTAATAGAGGTTTGTTAATAGGATTCAGATTAGGATTTCATTATGGAAAGGCTGGTACCACTATTGAATTTATATTTTTAATGTGCTTGCAACAATTTTTGTAGTTTACTATCTAATAAATGCTATACCACCTTTACTGTAGGGGAAACATGCCATGAAAGGTTTATACAGCAGCACAGATATGGCCAACACAGCATCCATGGCATTATTTAAGCAGGGAAGAAGACTGGGAAGTAAGCCTGTTAAATTTCCATTTTACACAACAACAGGACCCAACCACTGCACATTTGTCCTTTCCCCACATGCAGATCAAAATTGTGCTGTTCACACTTCTGACAGAGGTCAGGGGAGCAGGGGGGTTGAAAATGAGCTGATCTTTAAGGTCCCCTCCAACCCAAACTATTCTATGATTGTATGAAAAGTGAGTTTGTACAACCTTTCATCTTACAACAGACTTGGTAGTTCTGGGTTAATGGTTGGACTTATCCAACCTAAGTGATTTAATGAATCTGATTTTTCTGGTTTTAAGTTTTCTTTTTTTTTCTAACCTAAGTGATTTAATGAATCTGATTTTTCTGGTTTTAAGTTTTCTTTTTTGAGACTGCATTTCTTGTAGCAGTATTACTGCAGCTCTTGACCAAGAAAGTCTGGAAAATATTTTTTTTTAGTAAAAGAAATTGGATTCCCACGATTGGTAATTGATAGCTGTTTTTTCCATATATAGCATCAAGGTAGGAAACAAGAAGTCTCTTACATAAGAACTGTGACCTAAAATTCCAAACTTCTATCACACTTCCAGTTATTTTTAACAAAGGCATACACTTTTCAGAGTCAAAGGAATATTTGGGATGCATACAAGTTGAAACCATTCTCCCCCAGTCACCTCTCCCCAGTTCAAGTTTGTTTTCCAGAAGCATTTTAAATGAAGCCAGGACTCCATGCTTGACAGCATTATAGCAAAGATGTCTTTTAACTTCAGCATTTCCAAACAAGAAGAAACAAAGAAAACATCTGACATCTGTATGCTTCACAGGTCAGTAATGAAACACATCATGCATCATTCTTGTTTTCCAAGTTTAAGTTACAAGCAGTACACTGTGTACTCAAATTCTCTTTTCAATAAACTTGTTTGTACATCATAGAAAGTATAATACACAACAAACCAAATCCCACATCCTCCCCCCCACCCAAAAAGGTGTCTGACAAAATGTCACATCAGAGAAAAAGTTGCTACTTTTCTCCAGTGGCATCATCTGTGCTTTCAATTTCATTAAGCTCACACCCAGTAACTTGAAACAGTTGGGCAAATATCCTAACAAGGAACTACCCAAGAGGTACCTGCAAATACACCTATGAATAAAGGAAATACCCAAATGCTACAAGATTCCCTTATTTTTTTTTTACAAAGGTTTACTTTGCCCTCCTCAAAGAAGGGCCTCACAGTGCAATACAGAATAATGACATCAACAATTCTCACATTTGTGTCCCCAGCCTATTCTCGTATTATTGTTACCAAACCCTTTGTTGGAGGAAACCTACTGCTCTGTCCTTGTTGCATATTTGGGCAGGTAAATCTAAGTCCCAAATGACTGATCAACACTGACAAACCTTTCCCCCTCCTTAAAATCAAGGTCACTTTGCCTGATGATAGAACTACACTTGCCACAACTAAAGTGGAGTTTAAGGAAAAGCTCTGAGATTACAACCCAGTTATTGTTACATCTGCCATGATCACTGCTATGAAATCACTGCAATAAGAAGAATTTCTACTAAAGCAACATGTTCCAAAGTGCAGAAGCTAGAGGTGAGGGTTGTGGCATTGTTATGGCAATTGTCACTGTTATTGCCTTATCAAAGCCTGAAGATCTTCCTTTAAACACACAATATGATTGTGCTACAATTCATTTTTAAGCTGCAAATAGGCAAGAAAAGGTGGACTCAGTGCCATCCACTTTTTGGAAGGTGTGTAGAGAAGGGATTGGTAACAACTCTCAGGTTTGGGGTTTGTGCTCAGACTTCCCTGGTCTCTGAAAACTGCTGTGAACACATTCCTGGTGTCGTGGTTCAGCTGGAGCCCCCGCAGCACTCAGATTTACCAGTGCCAGCAAATTCAACTTCAGGCACAGCTAAGGGCAGGTGCACTACGAATCAGCCTTACAGACCTTTTCCTTCAATGTTTTCTTAAGAAAATGGCAATGCAGGAAAACAAGGCAGTTCACAGCACAGTAACAGCACAGAGTCAGCTGGAGTTCACAGCATTTCATATACATCCCCCAAATCAAGGGCTGTCTTCCAACAGACCTGCATTTTTCCTGCCTTCCTAAAGCTACCACTGCAGCTGAACTTTCAGCATAACCCTTAAGTTGGGCTATTTCATTGCCTTCCCTCTGAAGCATTCACTGCACCCAAATGTGGCCTCTGGAAATGTCCACATCTGCCTGCAAGACAGCTTGGTGCTAAGCAAGTGTCCCTGGCATCACAGAGGAACACAACAGATCTTCACTAAGTCTGGAATTTAGCCCAGCAAAAGGAATTTTGTACCCCAGGCCTCCCCTTGCAGCACTGACTGTCATGCCCTTGGTTTGGCAAAGCACATCCAAAGCCGAGGTGTTCCCATCCTTGCCCTCTGCTGGGGGCTGTGGATACAGACATAAATTGCATTTAAAAATACCCAGTCTGCTACTTCTGCACTAATTTTGAAAGTTTCTTTCTCCTTCAGGCGTTGTACTCAGCAACAAAGTGCTGAGAAATACTGTCATCTCACAGGGAGAAGGGGAGAAGTCTGACAATAGACAACTTTTCTCACTTCAGAACATTTTTCATACAAAATTTAGTCAGCAGATTCTCACCATTTAAGTGAGCTCACAAAAAAAAAACCTCACAGCTACACTAGCAAGAAGATTTATTGCCACACAAAATGAGAATATGTACTTTTGTTGACTCAGAATTCATATTTTTCCCTGACAGAGGTTTTCCTCTGGAAAATTAAACTCCAGTTTTACACCTTTTATTATTAAAGTGTGCTTTTTCAGATTTAAGAACATTTAAGGCTTAAGATTTATACATCTGCCCCTTAAACTGCATGTGTAATCCTGATCATCACATTCCAAGGCTTACCCAGACAGAGCAGATAAAACACAAGTCAAACTCAGAATCTCCAGTAGCAGACCAGGGACAAGCCTGACAGAACTCTGAAACCAGGCTGAGCATCCTTGTTCCTTAACTTATTCACCTCCCTTAATACCACAGAAATAG